AATACTATGGTGGTGGTTTGCATGTTCATTTAACTTGATGTAAATGGAACCTGACTGTATTTATGAATTCATTCATTTATCTTAGAAATTCATTTACTGATGTACATAGATACAGTTTGTGCATTTGGTTGTGTGCTGCAATCTGCCAAGTGGGCAGTTTGACCCACGATCTGTATTACTTGGGGGAAAGATGGGACTTTCTATTCCCATAAACAGTTACAGTGTTCAAGAACTCACAGGATCAGTTCTACCCTGCCCTAAAGGGTCACTATAAGTCGACCGTGATAGTTACATACTCTGGTGTCAACTTGAGACTATTAAGAGTAAAGAGGTGGAGTTTAGCCTGTCAATCAAGTTGCAGCTTGATGACCTCATTTGGAATCACTACAGAGATAAATAGCTCACTGGAGGCCAGACCCACTCTCTCTGCTTCGTATTCCTGATGATAAGCTCCACTACGCTGATGGAGCCAGAGCCCTGGAGCTGGAGGAACCATGTTGAGACCCACACCAGCTGAGATGTTTCCACCACCACTGGATCCGTAAGACTTTCCACCCACTGACTTGTGACCCTCCTGCATTCCCCATCATTGCATGGCTGCTTGAGTCTAAAGAGGAATGTATGGACTAGTATCAGCATATGGGGTGATATTGGACTTATGGACTTGATCCGGACTGGGCTGGGATGTTTTCTTAATATACAATTACTCTTTGATATAAAGCTCTTTCTTAGACATATGTGAGTTTCCCTGGATTTGTTTCTCTAGTCTACCTGGATTAATGCATCATGGTACCAGGTGGAGAGCGATGCTTGTTTGACCCCTGCCTCATGGTAGAGGCTTTCTTCTTTGGCTAGCCAGAGGTCAGATATGGCCTTGCAGTTTATTGGGTTGTTTTCTGGAAAGAATATGAGAACTTAGAAGTTTTGATTATTTTGATTGTTGTCTTTGGTTATTCCTGTTTGAAATGGTGAAAATTAATATGATTAATGTATATTTTGAGTTCAGGGGACGAAATTGCCCCCTGAGTTTCTCAGAGACCATGCTATTTAGAGAAAATGGCTGGCTGAGGTTAAAATGGCTGACAGAAGGTCCTGCCCTGGCATGAGGCAATGCAGCCAGAGGCCTAAGTCCATATAAAATTAGTTTAGATAAGAATTAAGATGTTAGATAAGGACTGAACTTGACTGTTTCAAGAATTGAGTTTAGGATCTGGCTGTACTAGGTTGATTGTTTTCTTCTGCTTATTGTTATTGATAGAAATGGTTATTGGGAAGTGAAAATAGAGAGTTTGTAAGACTACTTGCCTTCTGCCATTAAATCTGGAATTTAAATGGGTTAGGACATACTTGCAAAGAAGGCTCTAAAAATATAAGCCCTTCCTAGTCTCTTGAGTGATCAGGACATTCAAAGGTGAAGAGACTTGTCTAAGGGGCTGTTGACAGAATGAAGAAAAAAGGAACTCTTTGGCTTTGTGAATTTTGAAATAGTGGTTTGTGCCTGAGGCTGGAAAAACTTGGAACATGGAAGGAACTCTCCACTCTAGGACTTAATTGTTAAAGGGAGCCTGTGGGCGGCTGGAATGCTTTCTGGGTGACCACCTGCATCCACTTGTTGAGTGGAAGTAAGAGAAATGCAGTAATAAATATATGGGTTGAGTCTGGCCACTGACACCCATGGATCTGGTTCACAGGGACTAGTGGAGAAAACAAGAGCAGGTTGACTTGTCTGAAGTTCATGACCTAGCACAAGGGGCTAGGGTTATTGAGAATTCGTGATGGGGCCCATGATCTAAAGGCAATGAGGCAGCCCACATTGACCAGGACCCAACAAGATGAGATTTTTGAGCCTGTGAACTGGTGCATATTGTTGATGACTTTATGGATGGTCTGTCCTGATTTCACTTTGTTTATGGATGTGGACTTCACAGCGTTCCAACTGGAATGAAGATACTTCACATCAAAGATTAGGACTGTCTCCTCAGAGTACTGGGTTGATGTAAGTGGACAATATAGAAATTGGATACCCAAAAGAGGAGGATAAAGGCATGAAGTGGCTGGCTTACAAACTTTCATAGGTGTGGAAATATATTCATTCATAGGATTATGATGTAGGTGTTAATTTAACTGCAATTGTTAGGCATAGAATATTTTTTGTTTTGTTTACAGAATATTATGTTTAAATGAAGCTGGCACATATTTAATTGTATCCAGTTTAGTTTTATCCTATTAGGTACAGATATGATTTTATTATTGTTTGTTTGAAAATTATATATGGCTAGAGTCATGTGAAGTGTGAAGTTGACAAGGGGTGGTCTGTGGTAGTTACATAATCCCGTGTCAATCTGAGAACTATTAAGAGTAAAGGGGTGGTTCTGCTTGTCAATCAGGCCACAGCTTGATGACCTCATTTGAGGGCTCCATGGAGATAAATAACTCACTGGAGGCCAGACCTACTCTCTGCTTCATATTCCTGATGACAAGCCACATGGAGCTACGATGATGGCGCCAGAGCCCTGGTGTTGGAGGAACCATATTCAGAGCCACGCCAGCTGAGATGTTTCTACTATCACTGGATCCACGAGACTTTCCACCGACTGCCCTGTGCTCCTCCTGCATTCAGCATCATTGCATGGCTGCCTGAGTCTAATGAGGAATTTATGGACTAGTATCGACATATGGGCTAATAATGGACTTATCGACTTGATCCGGACTGGGCCGGGATGTTTTCTTAATATACAATTACTCTTTATATAAAGCTCTCCCTTATACATATGTGTCTCCCTGGATTTGTTTCTCCAGTCTACCTGGACTAATGCATTAACTCTGACTCTATGGCAGTGAGTTTGGAGTTTGGGGAGTACTCCTCTATCAGTGCATCTGAATTACTGCGCTGGACTGCCCAAAGAGCCAATAGAACGGTCTTGGAGGAAGTATAGCAAGTATGCTCCTTAGAGGCCAGGACGGTGAGACCTCTCATCAGCAGAGACCAGTGCGTCAAGGAGGATACCACATTTGGTGGTGGAGTGCCAGCAGCAAAGGCCCTCAAGGAGGTGGACTGACACGGCGGCCCCCCACGAGGACAATCGTGAGGGTGGCGCAGGGCGGGCTGTTTCATCCTGTTGTGCACAGGTCACTGAGTCAGGATGACCCCATGGCAACTAACAGCATTCCTTCAGGGCCGTGAATACAGTGATTTCATCGATCCTGCTGGTGACATGTGGGTTACGATTTGGGGTACTGTGAGCAGTGCTGTTCTGAGCAGTACTGTCTAGGTGACGGTGCTGCATTTTCCCAAGGGACCCACAGCTGAAACCACCAGCTGGCCGGGCAGTGTGGCCTCGCCCCAGGTGGGGGTGAGATTCCTCCTTCCCGTCTCCACCAACACCTGGCATGCGCTGACATCATTAGTCCTCCAGTCTGGTGAATACAAATATGTCCGTGTGACTCTAATCTAAGGCGACCAGACGTCCCGATTTTTAACAATTTGTCCCGCGTCCCTTTAAAAAGGTCCCGATTTTTTGAAAGAGTGCACGACAAGCTAGGGTATTCGGTTTTCAGCTGCCATATGGCTATTTCGCCAGGATATGAGTTTTATCAATGGTGTCCCGCTTCACCAATGTTAAAATCTGGCCACCTTACTCTAATCTCATGCCCCAGCCCTGATGGTGCTGTCAGGTAAGCACCTGACTGGACCGTGGGCAGTTCAAGCCCACTAGCTGCTCTACGGGAGGAAGGTGAGGCCACGGAAAGACTTGGAAGCCTCATGCGGGGCTGCCGTGTGGCGGCGGTGGGTTTGGGTTCAGATACTGATTTGTTGTGGGCCTGTTCGATTGCCAGCTCTTCTCTGGGGGACAGGTCACTAAGAATGGGCTCCCGCCGTTGTTCGCTTTGTGATGCGCACACTTTGGGTCCTCTTTCAGCCACACAGTCTTACTAGCACTTTTTAGAAAATTGATTTTTGCTCCCAACCTAAAAAATCGTTCTGTATTTGAGCTTCTTTACCCTGAGCAGTTCTAGGCAAGAGGGAAGAAGTAAAAAACCAACAGGGGCCGTGTGTTTTTGCAGCCTGTCAGAGAATCGACTGATCTGTTAGTCGTGAGAGACAAATGTGTAAGGCTAACCAAGCACTGGCAGTTCACGGGCACCGGGCACTGCGCGAGAAAAGACCTGGCGAGCTGCTCCCATCCGGATCCAGCCTGGAAACAGTCGCTGTGAGTGGGAGTTGAAGACGCACAACCCCCTGAGTAGGAGTCATGCTATAGTTTGTAAAAAAAACAAACAAACAAAGCCCTGGGGATCTGCCAGAGAAGCACTGGGTGCTGAGGCAACAAAGTAAGTGGTTCAAACCCACCAACCGCTGCTCCTGTAGATTCATTTGCAGCCTCAGAAGCCCTCGATAGCAGTGGTTCTCAGCCTTCCTAACGCGCAACCCTTCAATACAGTTCATGTGGTGGTGACCCCCAACCATGAAATTATTTTCATTGCTACTTCCTGTCATTTTGCTACTGTCATGAATTGGGCAACCCCTGTGAAAGGGTCGTTTGACCCCCAAAGGGGTGGCGACTCACAGCTTGAGAACCGCTGCTCTATAGGGTGGCTGTGAGCTGGCACCCAGGCAACGGCCCGCTCCTGACATCTCCGAGAACATGTTTTCGTCGGGACTCTAGAACATGAACTCCATTTGGGGTTGGCAAGAGTTGTTTTCTGAACACCCACTGTTCTAAAAGGGGAGGAGGACCTCTTATTAAACAACGTGGCAGCGGGACCACGTGGCTCTGCTCATGGGGAACAGCAGGACGGCAGGGAGCACACCCCTCCCACACACACACACACACACACACACACACACACACACCCCACGGTGCTTTCCTGGCGCCCTAAGAAATTTCTCTTTCTCTTGTTGTGTGGGGCGGGTGGGTGGGTTAACTGTCAACGCTACTCACTGACGTGGGCTTCCTTCCTGGGACATTCTGGAAAACCACCACCAAACGCAAAAGAAGCAGACTTGTCGTTTTTATTCGCGAGCACGTACTGCTAGGCTAATCGATTACAAAGATAAGGAGATTCTGCTGAACGTGGTTACAATTAAACACATGGACCAATCCAGAATCTTTATCCGTCGTTGCTTGGTTCACAGGTGGGAGGGTGGCAGGGCCCAACTCCGCCTGGGGCGGCGGCAAAGAACCAGGTGGGAGCATGTGGGACTAGCTGGGCTTCAGTGAGGGTTGAAATGGGTCCCCTTTGGGAAGGTTGGCTCTGGCTCAGAGGGGATGGGAATTGGGAGAGCTGCGCCCAGCCCACAGGGGCCCCACCAACAGCAGGGCATTCGGAGCTTGCTGGACCTTCACCTTCTGAGTGCTGGTCTACTACCATCAAAGGAAGATTCTTGCAGCAGGCTCATCGCGGCCTATTTATTGCATGACGTCTGACCAAGGCCACCAGCCCTGGAGTTCTGTCCGCATTTGGGCCTCAGAGTGAGCCACTGCCCCGCCCCCCCAAACCAGCACACCCAGAGGCTAACAGGTCCAATTACGAGCAGAGCTGGTTTATAAATACAGGACCTTCAGAACGGCAGGCACTTAAAGCTCATTAGGTAGAATACAAAAATAGATATTAATAGGAAATATTTAGTGTTTATCAAATCGCAAATCGAGGCTTTTGTCACTTTTTAGAAAAGGAGACTGAAAAGAAATGACATTCGAATGAAGTGAATAATGCGGGGTTGTTTTTTTTTCCGTCATCATTGTTGTGTTTTGCTTTAAAAACGCGAGTGCCGGAGACGACGGACGACGTAGAAGATGACTTACCCCGAGCACCTAAGACAACATTTGCGGATGGGCGGAGATGTGCCGTCAAGCACGCCTCCGCTTTCCCTCCCACGTCTCAGGGTCAAGGCCGGGAGTCTGCTCCCCGGGCGACTGCGGCGTTCTGAAACCAGTTAGTGGGCCTGCGTGTCAGAGAAGTGGACAACCCTTAGGGGAGGAGCTCCCCTTCCATCCTTCCCGTGGGCTCTTCCCCCAAAGGTGCGCGCGGGTTTATGCTTCAGACTCGGCGCCGCTCTTTCCACGCGGACTCCCGTTATGGTCATCTGCTTGGTCACTTAATAGGATAAACTTCCCGTCATTGGTTAGTGGGATGGACAGCATTAGTTGAGCCAATGCTTCTGGATCCTGAGGTTATGAGAGAGTTTAGAGAGGAAAGAAAGACACGGCTTCAGACGCACTTGAAATCCTGGGGCTCGGCTTTCTCCGTCAAAGCCTCCTAGCCTCACTCCCCGGGCCTGGCTGCGCCCTGAGGGCCTGCCTGCTCCAGTGAAGGCCCTCGGCCACATGACAGTCCCTCATCTAGAATGGAGGCCGGCTTTTCAGCCCAACTGCCAGCTACAGAGCAAGTCACTGTTATCTGCCCCGAGGGGGTGGGGGTGGGGGTGGGGGTGCGCTTCCCTCACAAATCTTTCCCCTCTTGATACCAGCTATTGGCAAACTCTTAGGAGCACTTGTTTTTGTCAATAAAGTTTTATTGGAACCCACCTGTGCCCATTCATTGCCACATGGCTGCTGGCTGATTTCAGCTCACACAGCCTAAAGGCCGGCTATCCAGCCCCTGACCTCAGCCACTGAACACCCTGAGACCTACAGGCCTGCTCTTCCCCCACGTCATCACTTGCCTCACGCTGGTCCTTGGTCTCCCTGCCCGCCCCAAGAACCAGAGCCCTAACAGAGGAGCTGCGCGGTATATGTTAATGTTCCAGTGTAACTAAAAAAAAAAAATCCTCAAACCACTGGGTTCCTCAGTGGCCCTGACCACATTGCTGGCCGGGTGGTCAAGGGCATCCCTTAGTGGCTAGCAGGCCCAGGGGTGCAGGGGTGCACCTGGTCTGGCTCACTGTCCTGTTTCCTTCCCGGCTCCCCATACAAACGAAGCACTCTGTAATGGTAATGGTGGGAGGAAAGCACGGCTGTCGCGCTGAGAGACGGGCCTGTGTGCACTTGTTCTAAAACGCTCCCTGGTAGCACCAGTCACGCTGGTCTTCTGAGCGCCGGGAGGCACACAGCCAGGCCCCGGCGCTTGCACCCTCAGACTCTGAGAGGAAGGAGCAGCTAGGCCGGGCGCGGGGTTAAGAGCAAGCAGCAGCTGCAGCAGCAGTCTGATGCGACTCTAGCGTGTTAATCAGGGGCTGGGGAAGTGGGTGGCCGATGGGCTCATGGTTAGAACGCTCAGCAGGGATCCTCTAACCTGGCCATGCTGCCTAAGAGCACCACGGGTTCTCGGGAGGGAAGGCTTAGTGCATGTATAGCAGTCTCTTGAGTAGTTAGCTGTTAAACCGCCACTGAGATGGAGGCACCTTACCTTCTGAACCTCAATAATTTCTTTTCCCAAATTAATAGCGTAACATATCTGCAAAAAACAAACAAACAGAAGAGCAGGGTTTGGAAAGGGGCGAAAAGAATGAAGGACGTTAGAAAGAAATTAAAAAAAAAAACCAAACAAACACAAAAGGGATAACTGAGAAAGTTCCTGCCCGCGGTGGCCTGGCCTCCCGACAGGTAGGTGTGTCGAAGCCCGGACCTTTCTTTCTACCCTGCGCCTGCAGATGCACAGTGGTGAACAGAGGCCGACTGGGAGGAGGATGGACTTCTTTGGATGAATTCTAAACCGCAAATGCAGCAGGCTGAGCTGCACGCCCCAGGGGCTGGCTCCGTCCGCGGCTTGCTCTCCGGCCCGCTGATCTAGCCACTCCTTGTGGCTTTCTTTCCTCTTTTCAAGGAACGGGTTTGAGGCAGGTGACTGTCTGCTCTCCCTGCTAAGCAGTGGTTTGCTGCCTTTACGTTCTCCCTCACCCCGTTTCGGCTGAAGAGTAGTCTTCCAGGGGAGAGTTTACCCTGTCAGTTTCCTTTGCTGCGAGATGCTGTCAGGTGGGTCTGACCCATGGCAGCCCCGTGCGTGTGCACAACGGCGCCACAGGGCTTCAAGCCTGGGGCCACTGGGAAGCTGACTGCCAGGCGTGCCCTCCGAGGTGCCTGAAAGTGGCTTCAAACCACCAACCTTTCTGCTAGTCATCAAGCACCTGACCAAGGACTCCCGGGCCTGCCTAGGAGGTATCACCGGAATCCTGGATGGGCACACACGCCAGTCAGCCACATGCCCAGGGAGAGGGCGAACCCCCGTAGAAGGGGGCTGTTTGGAGCGAGACCCGGCCGCGTCTTGTTACGAACAAACAATGAGACCTTTTCGCCTTCCGAGTTGCTCTCAAAGACGTACGCGCTCAGGGACTCTTCTCCCGTGGACTCCGGCATGCGGGTGACGAAGCCAACCAGCCTCCTGTTTTCTTGATGAGCAGCAAACTGGGTGACACTGGCCAGTTCAA